AGAAGAAGAAGAAGAAGAAGAAGAAGAAGAAGAAGAAGAAGAAGAAGCAGCCATCTTTAATGGACAAAAAAGTTCAACTAAGAAAGAAAATAAGAAGAGGGGAAGGAAAATTGAGAATTTAAGATTTAACCAAACAACCAAGAAAGAGAAAAATAAGGTGAAAGAAAGGTACAATGTTAGAAAGCAACAGAAAAGAGAAATACAATAGAGAGGGGAAGTTAAAAAGATGGAGGTTGGAGGGGGGTGGGGCAAAAAGGCCAGATAGGAGAAGAAAGGGAGGGGGAAAGGGGAAAAAAGCCACAAAGGCTTGAAGCAAGATGCAAAAAAGCAGATCTTTTTCAGAGATAAAGGGTAAAGTATAATTAAAGAAAGATTCTGCAAGAGTACATAAGATAGTATTGTAGTATTTGTATTTGAAATAGTGTATTGGAATATTATAAGATTTAATAAAATATTAAAATGTTTAATAATAATAGATTTCAATATTCAATAAAATATTAAAGAGAATGTGTAAAATGATTACTGTTTAGTTATAGTTTAATTTGTTATTGTCTTAATGTTATTATAAATTTACTATTTCATTTTCTTATTTTAAAATAATGTATTAAGCAGAATTAGAATTAGAATGGAAATTATATATTTAACTATATTATAAATTTATTATTTGTTTATTTTAAAATGCAACATGTAGAATGTACTAAGCAGAATCAGAATGGAAATTATGTATTATTTTAAGTGTCAATTTAGGGGAAAGATAGAAAGGCGTCACACTTTAAAAGTGACTACAGGGGAAATTTTCTGTTAAAGAGAAGAGATAAATAGATAATTGGAAAATAACGGACAAAAGATACAAGTATAATGATTTTAAAATAAGATGAAATAAACAAAATATAATTAAGACAGTGAAAAGAAGGGAGAAGTTATATAGAAAATATAGAATGATAAATAAGATAAGAATGGTATATAAGGTAAGCATGAATTTGATTTAGGTTTGTAAAAAAAGATGTAACCCGGGGCTAAGCCACTTTCCCAAAAAAAGTTTTATGTTTTATGTTTTGTGTTTTGGTTAGCTATGTTTGATTGAGAATTAATAAAACCTTGGAGGAATAAAATTAAAAGGAGAAACAATGAGAAATTTGGAAAAGATATGTACAAATAATAATTTGGAATTATGTTGTATAAAAGAATGTCCTATTTGTTTTGTCAAAATCTACAAGTAGCCTTCAGAAAGGAGGTTTTATGTTTCTATGTCTTATGTTTTGTTGGTCTTTTAAAAATTAATAAAATTTGTTTTTAAAAAAAAACTTGTGAAAAGCAAATGGCATAACAGGAAACTCAGGATATTGCAACCAGGTGCAAACCGATAGCTACAAAGGATCAGGGAAAAACAGAGATTAGACTATAAAACAATTACTCTTCCCAAGATCCCAGGAAGAGATCCCAATCTAAAGAGACCGGAACTCATCACACGAACACAAATCAGACTTCAAAGATTCACATTTACAAATCAAAGAACCTGAAGTGTGTAAGAAAGGGGTTTTCCTACTCATTAGATTAATCTCAGGAACGCTGTAGAATTTATTCTTATTTGCCTTCCTATTAATAAACTGATTCTGGCTTCCAATGCAGCTGATTTTACTGATTTTGCAGTAAAATCTCCCAGCCGGGAAATTTGCATCCATAAAAGGAAAGAACTTTGCCTTTTTCCTTAAAGGGCAAGGCTTTCTTTCCCCTTCCACAATATGATAGCAACAGTGGCATACACCATCACCATGGCACGTATGTCTCCCAGTGTCCATATGAGTTCCCAAATGAATATTTTTTAAAGAAAAAATAATATGGCCAGCATCTTACAAAATGGCAGCATGTCACAAGTGTTTGGTATTTGCATCTGAAAGATTATTTGGCGTAACTAGACCTAATCCTTTTTTTAAACATGAATGTTATGAAGAACAACCTATCCATGTTTGTTGATGCCTTCAGGAATTATTCTTTCCAATGGCCACACCTGGAAACAGCAGCGACACATTGGGGTCACTTCTCTGCGGAAACTCGGCCTGGGGAAGAAAAGCATTGAGCATCAGATAGAAGTTGCAGTTCAAACATTGGTGGAGAACTTTAGACAAACAGAAGGTATGTCATTTGGGGTAATATAATGGCTCAAATCCCTAAGTACAGAAATCTTTTCTATTCTGATTATTTCAAATAAAGCACATTTATTTGATTTGATTTTGATTTTTCTTTAAAAAAACGGATACATTTCCTACTCTTCCTTCACCCCCTTTCACTCTCCCAAGTTTACAAGACTTCAGACATAACCAGATGAACTAGTTCTATTTTGTTGTAAGGCTACATTAGCAGACTCTTGCAAGTTTGAAAGTACAAATCTCCTGCTGTTTTTAAAGAATTTTTTATTTTATTTTACAACATATCCATTTTTCAGATCAAGTGTGTCATCTGGGTACATATATCTTGTGCATATATTCATATTTAACATACACCTCTTATTATAATATCAATAGTTACATCCATATTAAAAACTACTCATCCTTATCTTATTTTATTATTATAGTAATCTTAATGCATTTTACCTTATATTCATTTAACTTCTTTCTTTGTTTTCCAACCATTTATAAAATAGATCCCATATCATATAATATTCTGTTTCTTCTTGTTCTTTAGTTGCCAATGTTAATCTGTTCATTTCTGCACATTCAAATATTTTCATAATCACCTCTTCCTCTGTCGGAATCTTATCATTTTTCCAATTTTGAGCAAACACAATTCTAGCCGCTGTTAATATATGTATAATTAAATATGATTTTTCTTTACAAAAGATTTTTGGGTAAAATCCCCACAACAAAAATATCTCAGGTTTTAAGCTGTTTCTTTTTACCGCCTGATAAGTTAGATCGGATTCTTTCGAAGTTACTTTCTGGGTCTGTCACTCAGTTGTGGCCTTCTTCCCCCACCTGCCTTCTAAGTGTCATTCTCACGTTCTGTTACATCATCTTAAAAGTCCTGTTCTTTAGTATTAACAGGCTAACAGGAGAGTCTGAATTTACCATAAAATACCTTCATTTGCAGGACAACCATTTGACCCATCCCTTCTGGTACTAAATGCAGTTTGTAATGTCATCTGTGCTTTGAGTTGTGGACAGCAATTTGCTCCTGAAGACGAAAACTTCCAGAAGCTAACTCAAGCCCTTAAAACTCTTTTGAAATTCATTGGTGACTTTTATCATACGGTGAGTCATATTTTCTACTAAAGAGACAATGCTCCCGAAACAAACTATATTTCCATGGTAGAAACATAGTTCATGGAATCATAGAATGTACAGCATGGAGGAAGCCCTGGAAACAATCTAGGATAATGTGTGCCCTTGAGTCACTGGTGATTGCCCAGACAATTCTATGTAGTTTCCTTTTCAAGATTTTGGAAGTGATTTGCCATTGCTCACTTCCTAGGACTGAGAGGTAGTGACTGGCCCAAGGTCACCAAGTTGACTTAGAGCTGAGTTGGGTCTGAATAATGAGGAATAAAGAGGAAGAATGATTTCTCTTGATCTTGATACTAGACCACTGATCCATCCTGAGACTAGGCAGGTTGAGCCAAGAACAGAGATCATATGTCATTGTGCTTGTAAGTTGGGTCACCACATGACTGGAATTGATTGTTCAACTATTTTTATGATGGTCATTAAGAACATCACCAATGGTCATTAAGTGAATCATTTGCTCATAAGTCTAAACCCAACTTATCCAATGGATGTTTCTTCATTGGAAAATGGCAAAAAATGTAAACCATGATTATGTGACTCTGAGATGTTGCAGCTGGTTATAAATGGAAGCTAGTTGCCAACTATCCAAAATGCAATCATGTGACAATTGGGATGGTAGTTTATCTTTGAGGATAAGTCATAAGTAAGTTTGTTCAAGTCTGTTATATTTTTGAATGGTTGTTAAGCAAACAATTGTAAGTCAACAATTATCTGTTTCAGGGATTGTATCATGTTATTGGCTTATATGTAAGGTAATGATCCAACGAGCAAACTTTTTCACATATAACACGTACAGGGAACACTGAGCTGCCTCAGACAGGCTTAGTTCCCAGTAATTATTGCATCATCCTGCAGAGATGAAAGGTTTGGAAGAATGAAGAAAAGCCTACAGGGGTTTTAGTGTGAAACAAAGAATTGTGCTTTTATTTAATTGGCTAACAGTTTGATCCTGCTACCTGTCCAATCCCCTAGAGCAGGGGAATCAGTTCAACTCTAAAATGAATCAGTTTATTTAGGGATTGATGATTTATGAAAGTGAAATTCAATTCAAAATGAAATTCAATGGTGAAAAAAGTAAGTAACCCAACAGCAAAGCGGTGGAGAGAACTAGTTCTGTCTAAGCTACTCATCACCGCTACTGGCTTGGGAGAACTGAGCTGAACTGGTAGAACACCACCACTGGTTTGTAATGTTTTGTTTGAATATTAAGTTCTGTTGTTGCTGTGAGTCGCTAAGATTCTTCTGTAACTATTGTGAAAAATAAATAATTTTTCCTCCTCTTTTTCTTTTAGGTATATGATACGTTCCCATGGTTAATGAAGTACCTCCCTGGCCCCCATAAAGAAGCTGTGGCTTCTATGAATTTGATCCTCTCCTTTGCAAAGCAGGAAATAGAGAAACACAAGGAATCCCACTGTCTGCATGAGCCACAGGATTTCATTGACCACTATCTGCTTCAGATGGAGAAGGTATGGGTTCATTGTGGTTCAATCCACAGGCAATAAATTATTGCATTCCTTGCTGTAAATAAGGCAGAGCTACTGATAATGTTTTCCTTCTTCCTAGATTTTTCTTTCTTTCTAATTCAGCATACATTCTGAATATAGCTCATGGTAAATTCAGGTTGCTTCTTTTGGAGGTTAAATCCAGTCCATGTCTTCCTCCGGTAGAGAAACGCAGGCCAAGGAAAAATTTGAGGCAGGCTGCAGTTGGAAAAGAGGTTTATTAGCCCAGGAACAATAGCAGTGACAATAGCAAATATTTCTGGGGCGACTAGAAAATTGGGGTTATGAGTTAGTGAGTTGTTATGTTTTTTCTGAGTTCTTTCTAATTGGTGTATTGGTATTTGTATGAAAATGTGTTCCTTCTATTATCAGGATTTTGGCACTTAAATCATAAGTCTCAAGCCAAACTTCCAAAACTTCAAAAGGATTTATTGGGAGTTAAAATGTCTGGCACTGCCTAGGTGTAACTGACTCTGAGACACATCATTCATTGTCACCCTTGACCCTGGTTTTCCCCCACCCCCTGGATGTACCGTAAGTCATATTCTCCAATGGGACACATCCATAGCCAAGAGTCATCCATCATGCTCTCCTGATAGAATTTTGCAGGGCAAAAACTTCGGTCACCTAGTTACTATCTGTGAAAAACTATTTATGGAATGTACTTTCGTTTTGCAAAATGCTGCACTGCTCCCCTCTCCCTTTCTGTTGGCTACTCTAAAAAGACCACAGAAATATTTTATGAGTTGACATCTATGCTCTTTAGACTGGATATAGTATTTTAATTGTCATTGCAAGATTTTTTATTGTGGCATGTGGGATTATGTAAATTTCCCCAAAAGAGTGTTTTGTTTTCCTGATTAAATCTCATTTGCACAATTAGTTTCAGTTGCTAGACAATTCTGCCATCTATTTGGAGATCCTTTTAGCGAAATCTGATTTTACAAGGTATACATTGTTTTATGAATGAAACTTAAGTTTCCTTAAACTTTGTCTGCAGGCTGTTTTAGGAGAGGAAAAACTGGGGTTACTTTCTGCCTTTGTTAAGTAGGTATTTCTGCTCTCCTCCTTTACAAAAAATATTCTATTCAGCTTCTTTTCTTATTTTGTGGAATATTTTGTTCTGGGGAGGGGAGGCTTCCTACACTTCTAAAAAGAGTTACGTCGTACATCTGCTCCAGAGGTGACATTCAATATGGAGTAGTTTGGAGAATGGCAAATACCACCTCTGACTAGCCCCGCCCCCATCTATTCTCTGCCTCCCGAGTCCCAGCTGATCGTCTGGGTCTTCTTTTGTTGCCCTGCACTGTAGAACAGAGCTGTAAAGTAGGTTAGTGGGGTGGGGAAGAAATGGAGATTTTACAGTATCCTTCCCCTGGAGTGGGATGGGAATGGAGATTTTTGCATTATCCTTCCCCTGCCATGTCCACCAAGCCACATTCACCAAGTCACACCACGCCCACACAACCAGTATTAAAAAAAATTTGAACCCCACCACTGACCTGGTCTCATTAGGATGGATTATTCTTTATATGGTTAGGTTTAGGATTGAGTCCAGTGTCTTAACAGGAGAATAAAAGTTAAAGTAAAAAAAAAAATCCTAAAAGTGTTTATCCAGTGTTTCAAAAACATGATTAAAGGCTCTAATACTTCCAAAGAAGAGTAAAGAAGCAGAATCACATACATAGTGCCCTCATTTTCTTTCAGGTGGCATATCGTTACATTAGAATGCATGCTGTGTAATCTTGCTTGCAATTTTTTTGTGATACAAAACAGAAACAAAAATGACCCAAGGATAACTGCATAAAATTCATTGTAATTTTCATTTTCCATCAGAGCAGGAATGACCCCAACTCTACCTACAATGAAGATAACCTGGCTCGGTGTATTTTTGATTTTTTTGCTGCTGGGACAGACACAACCTTTGCTACTCTGATGTGGGCACTGCTCCTCTTGACAAATCATCCCGATATCCAAGGTGAGAGAAATCTGTGCTGTGAGAACAAGGTTCTAAAACACAGGAATTATTTGAAATATTAAGGGCTATTGAATGATGAACTGAATCTGTTCTTCGTAATAATTTTTCTATGTGTTTCTATGAACATGAGCTTAGCAGGATTAAAGGAGAGCGTAGAAAATACACAAACACACACATACATAACATACACACACACAGAGACACTTGAAATTTGGCACTATGTTCCTCTTGGCTTCTAGGTGCTCACTGAGAAAGGATTTTTCAAAATGACCACCAAAGCATTAGTATTTTCTATATTATAATTACTAACATGCTCTGATGCTAAGGAGTTCTACTCCCCCTCCCCACCTGAAAAGAAATCTGTTCCAAATGCAAAACACAAGCAGAGGAGTTTCTGTTTCAGTTTCACAGCAGCTTTAGGACAGAACAGTTGAGCTAAGCCACACCCTTGCTGTCTCCTTCTTGCTCACATAGCAAATACTATTTCCGTTTCCAAACAGCCCTCAACTCTTTCACACACACTGACAGGATGCTAGCCCGATGAATACTGATGGATGTTGGTAGGCAGAGGCCGAATACATTTAACCGACTGCAAATGCAGAAAGGTTTTCTGATTTGGTAGTTAGTTTCGGTCTAAATTGTTTATCGAAGACCCAATTAGAATCTGGTAAAGACAGAGAGAGAAAGAGTGTGGGAGGGAGGGAGAGAGAGAGAGAGAGAGAGAGAGAGAGAGATGAGAGAGAGGGGGAGGGAGGGAAGGAGAGGGAGGGAGAGAGAGGGGGCGGACGGCTGTATAACAATTGGATCCAGATTATTTTCTAGATAATTATGGAACACTTTTTTTTAACTGAATTAGATTTCTAAACTGATTGGGACTGAATTCTGGAAATTGACTTGATTGAAGTCGAGTCAGAGAAGTCTTCACACTAAATCACCAGTTTGTATCATTATTCTGAATCAGTTTGGATTGAATCAGATTGTAGTCCAGAGAACAGATTTTATGCCTACACTCCTTCATGATTGTTAAGTCGCAGGAAAGATTGACTCAAGACCAGTGTGACTTCAGCTCTTTATTTAGTCTCGTCAAAAAAAACTGAACAACCGCGGAGCTGCAGCAGCCTCTTTTATAGCAGCTGCTCGTGGCTCGTGGCGAATGACGGTTCCTTGAATTTCCTGCCGTCAGACGGACCAATCAAAAGACAGTATTACAAGTATTCAAATGTATAAGACGGACCAATCAAAAGGCAGTATTGATGGAACAATCAAAAGGCAGTATTTCAAGTATGCAAATATATAACAATGATTCTCAAAAGAAGGACGAGATTCCATTTAATGCTCTGAAAGCTATGCTACATCTTAAAAGTGTTGCTGAGGATCGAAACTGTGAAACAAATTAATAAATAAGTGAAACACAATAGAAAAGGAAACACAGCTTCTATTTCCATCTTTTTTTTTTTCTAGACAGAGTCCAGAAGGAGATTGAAGATGTGTTTGGCTTCTCAGGGTCAATTTCCTATCAGGATCGGAAGAAGCTGCCCTACACCAATGCCGTGATTCATGAAATGCAACGTTTAAAATATATCTTGATAGTTGGAGTTCCCAGGCAAAGTATAAAGGATGTGAAGATGAGAGGTTATCTTATTCCAAAGGTGAGGAATGTGTTCAAGATGCATTCCAGTAGCCTAACATGAAAGGAAAAATAGAAATATGCAGGAGTGGGCTTCAAAATTTTTAGCAAAGGGTTCTCTGCCCAGTTGCTGGATGGGCGTGGCCATGGTGGGTGTGGCCTAGTCGGCCTCCTACACCACGGGGGGGCATTTTTATGCTCCTGGACTCCAGAGACTTTCCTTGAGTCTCCGGGAAGGCGAAAATGGCCTCCCTAGGCTCCGAAGGCCCATTTCCAGGCCCATTTCCAGCCTTCCTGAACTTTCCTGCACTTCCCTGCATCCAAAATGGGCCTCCTGGGAGGAGAGGGGTGGGTGGAGCCAGCCCAGAGTGGGATTTGGGGATTCTCCAAATTGCACAGAATCTTAGCTAGGGGCTCTCTTGAACCCCTAGCAGCTCACACCTGAAGATATGGCATTTGGACGGAAGCTCTCTGTTCAGGAACTGCCAATGTAGTCATCCAAAAATGAATGGATAAGAATAGCAAGTTTTGTGGGGGATGGATTAGTGGGTTAAATCCAAACACGTCTCAGTTTTTAAAGTCAGAACCTTAAACATTTTCTATGTATCATGGGAAGATGATAAGAGATTAAGGGCTGATCTTAAATTCAGAATTGTAACCATGTATGGCCACGTTTCTTGGTCCAGTTTTTGGGGCAATCTGGTGTGATAAAGAAATATTCACCCAGCTCTGTGTTTTAATGGAAGGGAGGAGAGGAAGGAAGCTAAACAGTTGAGAAGCTACCGCTCTCACAAACTGCTTTGGAGATCAACGGTGTCAAGATAAAACCAAATGTTTCATCAATATTATTTGAACTTTTTTGCCTGCTTCCTTTACGAAACTGCTGTGTTTAGTCATCTCTATTTTCACAGGGAAGCTTTATTGTCACAGACCTGCGCTCCGTTCTTCTTGATCCTGAACAATGGGAGACACCTAAAGAATTCAACCCAAATCACTTTTTAGATAAGGATGGGAAGTTCGTTGACCGAGAAGAGTTTCTGTCATTTGGAATAGGTACATCCAAGAGCTCAAAGTTACTTATTACAAATACATTCCCACTTAACCTCACCCCTGAGTTTTTCTGGGATCATCGTGGTCTCAATAGGAATTCCTACTAGCTTCAAAACTAAGGGAATCTATCCACATAGATGAAAAACAACTACTGCCTACCTGCACCCTCTGACAAAAATTTCCTGAAGCAAGTAAAAGGCAGCTGAAGGACTTGTGAGCAGAGCTAGAAACCCAGCCAAACTTTTATTTAGCTTAGCATCAGAAAAGCACTTCCATATTGCAACAATTTTGAATGGATGGATGGATGGATGGATGGATGAATGTGTCAGAGTTCCAAGTAATAAATCCACAGCAAGCAAAACTCTAAGGTAGGTAGATTCCTCAAAGAATACTTTTATTGGAATTATCATATTAGCACGTGTCTGATGAAAACCAATTCTGAAGTCTCCTGCAGTTTTCACCTAATTAAAAGTAAAAGTTTTTCTCCTTTCTCAAAACAATCAGTCACGTGGTCCAATCAGGGTGTGGACTGGCAGCCAGATGGCATCACTCCGCCTTCCTCTGACCAGGTGTGAGAATGTCCTTGGCTCCCAAGAGAAACTATTTTGTTTTGGCCACAGAATCCCCTCTATCTTAAATCCCCGCTCCCTATCCCTCAGCGCGACACCGAAGATGCCATTTAATTTTGTCGTGTGAAGTGCAATGACAATAAAGTAAACTAAAGTAAACTGAAGCAGTCAAAAATGGTTTTAATCAGGTCAGCTTCAGGGTTGACAGAAGGAAGGAAGGAAGGAAGGAAGGAAGGAAGGAAGGAAGGAAGGAAGGAAGGAAGGAAGGAAGGAAGGAAGGAAGGAA